GGGGCAGTAGAATGGGAGCGGTGACGGGTAGGCTGAGGGTTGCTGAGCTCTCTCGCTCTCACCAGCAACCACAGAAGCGTGTTAAACAGCAGCAGCAGTGGGAAGGTGCGTGCGAACTGTACAGTATCGCCATCCACGTGGGGTTGACCAGGACCCCCCTGAGGCACTTGTAGAAGCAGATGAACGACACCAGGAAGGCGATGCTCGGGTTGCACGCGGTTTTCCACACCTTGTTTGGCACAAAACAAAGCGCAAAAGACGAGGGGGGGACAGGTGGTACCAGATGGTGGGAATTGGGGGAGCGGGGGATAGTCGCAAGGTGCGTTCAGGCATCCATTCACCCTTAAGGCTCCAGTAGAAGCGAACAGCGCTGGACGCAACAAGACAAAACTGCACAGAGGGTATGAGGCCGTCCAATTCTTGCCGATACAAAGGAAGGACGGAGGCACGCGCCTGTACACAACCACGTCGAATATCACTCTGAACCTCTGAGTCTACTGCCGCACGCGCACGCTGTCACCGCTTGGCCGCAAGCAACTCGAGCGCAGACATGTCGGTTGTTTGGACGAAAAAGATAGATACAAGTGGAAGGAGTTGGGATCCTCAAATTCGATCCCACAGAGACACGAGATGGCACTCTCGATCAACCTAGGTGACGCAAGATGGGTACTACTCCCTCTTGCTATATATCTCTGATGTATTTCTGTCAGTGAAGTCTTTCTGTCTCTCCCCCTCTCCAGCTGCCACCTGTCTATCTGTCTGTCTGTCTGCTCTATTTATTCTCTTTCAGGAGGTCCCACGATCAGAAATCAGCGCGATGCGCGGCTGGCATGCCCTGCTTTATGTCCGTCGCGTAACTCGATAACGAGTTCGGACGCTTGCTTGTCATCTGCTCGTAAGGGTCAACCTACGAACCCTCAGAATCCAGAGAAAGGCACACCTCAATCGTTGGCGAAACGCATCCAAACCTGGAATATCGACGACGACTGAAAAACGAAGTCAGATAAGAAATCGGTACTCCTTAAGTGTGTCGACTGAGAATGTTACACGCGTTGGGACGGGAGGTAAGTTCGTGACCATACATGTGGTACACACGCAGACCACGTACACGTCGCAAAGGGTGTCTAACCCGACGTTTTTCGCCCTTAAGATTGGCTCGTGACGCGACACGGAGAGCATGAACACATTGTGCAAGCAGGACCGCAAAAAACACGATTGCCTCGCCCTGTTTCAAGTCTTACCAGCACGAAAAAATAGTGTGACAAGAAGTTTACCTATCACCCTTCTCTGCCGCTGTCACAGGGGCTATCGCTGTCTCTCCTTTTGTCTCTGTCCCCCTCTCTCGTTCTCTGCGTGTGTCTCTCTTGGTGTATATCTCTCTCGCTTACCCAGATGTTGACCCCCCACATGTACACGAGCAGGGTGAGGTTGCCAAGCCCGAGGTACATCTTGAAGGCCGGGTAGTGCCACATATGCTGACCCAAAGCGTCCTCCGCGATGCAGTCCCACGTCGCCTACACCTGCAATCGTTCGTTGTCATCGTTTCCGTGTATGGTTTGTCTATTTGTTCATGCATGAAACAAAAAAAAGCATGCAACTCGTAAATTTATCATGCAATATGTTCTTGCTTTATTGTTGACGTCTAGTTGAGTGCACCAGCAAAACAAGAGGTGGGCACTACTTCCCAAGAAAACGTGCTCTGGAAATCGATGTCTGTTCGCCTGCGGGACATCGATCTCCTCATAGCACAAAGTCATTCATTTGCGCACGCTAGGGGAAGCCGTTAAAAACGCACTCACAGAACACACTCGAGGACGTACTGTAGGACAGGGACTACCCTCTCGAATGCGGCGGGGAAATAACCAGCGCACAGGCAATTGAGGTGGGTCTCTCACGGTTTGGAGTCTCATACCGCCTCGACAAGTACAACGCGCCGTCGATTGTGCAGCAACCGGAGCAAGCAGCAACAAGCAACCCTGGCTTCGCCCACCTCGAACGACAGCAGCCGGCGGCAGGTGTCCTACAGCTCGACGATGGCTCTCTTGAGGGACGGCCGCACGTACGGGTCTTCGGTGTGGCCAGACGGTCCGAGATGACTAGCTGGTTGACAGCAGGGCCCACAGGAAATTATTCGTTGAGACGAGCCCGCGGGGGAGTGGGGGTACACATGCCAATGTATGCTGGGGCAGATGCTGAAGTGGGGGCGCGGGAGGACGGAGGGGACAGGAAAACACGGTCGGTCCGCGTGTAGAGGAGATTGTGTGGAAACGCAAGTACTCACACACACATAACTACAAGTATTGTACCTCCTTTTCGCAGGCACACCCTTCACGTGGAGGCTGTACCCTACGATCGTCCAACCTCCTGAAAAACAAAACACACAGCCCAACCCAATCCCACCTGAGGGGTGCGACGCATCACCCCGCCAGTCGAAACGACAAGGCTGCTGAACTAAGGTCTGTGTCATCCCGGAGGGTCGTCGTAGTCGTCGTGGTAACGCCAGGGCCATCGCCCGGCACCACTGCTGCTGCTGCCCTTGTTGCCGCCACCGCCGCCCTGATTACCAACGCCGGTGCCACCTGCTGCGGTGGAAGAAAGGGCTTCAGGTGCACCCCCCATCCCGCCCAGCTTCCGGTGGAGCCGGTGTCGAAGGAAGTCGGGACTGTCGTGGAGGGCCGGAAAGCTTGGAGGCGCACTTGTCACTCTCGTTCCGATAAAAGGCCCAAATCCGCTCCAGCTCCTGTGTAGGCGGGGGAGGCGCAGGGGGCATCACCGCGGTGGTCGGGGTTCCCCGTGTGGAGGTGACAGTATCTCTATCTCGTACCATTGGTGTTGGAGAGGCGGGACATCGGCTGTCTGTACTTCGGCCAAGAAAAGCTCAACATTTGTAGTGTATGCTTGGTATGAATTTTATGTGTGACTCAGATGCTCCATTGAGAGGCATGCGGGGGTACCTGGTGTTTCGTCTCCTCCCTCGGTCGTCTCTGCAGCAGCTGCAACTCCGACAGTTTTTGAGCGTGGTCGGTCGTCCAAGACTCCTCTCGAGCGTTTAGCTGCCGTCCCCTCGCCTCTACTTCGGACAGCGCCTTCCGAAGCTTGCCCTCCAGCTGGGCGGCAAGCAGGTTGCGGGGGAGGGGGGGGGAGAGAGCCATTTCAAAAAAAGATTCAACAACAGCAGTTTTGAAGCTGGTGTAGAAGCCACCAAGTGCAGGGTTGTGCACCCACCCCCAGGGAAGTTGAGCTGGGTATAGAACGTCGTGTGACAGTAGAGGTTTACCCTCTGATGTTCATGAATGTTGTTTAGCCAATCTTCATGTACCATCCGTCGGACAGTGAGCCTAAGTCTTGGGGCCGCCATCTAGAAGGCGAGATATGGCTCGCAACAAGAATCAAACGGAAGGCTTCGCACCGGTTCGTTGCTTCAAAACCTCCGACAACGCCTTGCGCGGTTGCAACAACATCGTGCCATATGTTCACTCAATCTCATGTATGATGTCATCCATCGTCAACACGTGCCGACAGTCACAATCGAGACTTCACAATACAAGCAGCCGACAATAGCACAACGCCTAACGTGCAGCCGTACGTTCTTCCGAACTGCTGCCGCATCGGTTGCATCGTCACCGTGCACGTTGTGCAGGTCTAAATGTTTTGAGGTCAACACCAGCAACACCGGCTATAAAGGGCACCTTGGAGTAATCGGCTTGTGCGTGGCGCAGCTCTCATCGTCTGGTCGCCTCCAGCGCCTCCACTTCTGCCCGAGAGCTTCGTCCTGGACAGACATACGCAACAGTGCATCAAGCGCACAAACGGTGGCCAGACAGGAAGTGAAGGTTTACAGCAAAAAAACAGAGGCCGACGATTGGAAATGCGTTCATGGCCCATCTTTTCGAGCCCCCGCTGACCCACCACGCAGCATCAATCAAAACTTAACCCCCAGAGAGAAGCTGATTCTTCTACGCCCATGCAACGCCCTTAGAATACATCGCGCACCTTGCAAAAAACGTTTGCAATCAACAAACGCGTGAGCATACGAAACGGCTGTTACCGATGAGCGGACATGCCACAATAATTACCCATACCCTTTCATTTTACCCATACCCTTTCATTTTCCATTTTCCCTCATGTCAACCGTTTCGATTCCCAAGGGACGACCAGCCACACGCACACATGCCAGGTACGTCAAAACACATCTTCCAACACACACCACACAAGCGCGGTCAGATTCATCGCGGTCTGGATATCCGAAGGTCCACATCTTGCCAGCAACCTTACAAGGTCCCACAACACATGCGTAGCTACGTTTTGCATATCACCTCTTCCGTGTCTATCGTATTATCGCACCTTTCCCCGCAGGCGCTTGGCGAACTTGGCTTCCTCGACGACCCTCCATCTCTCCCACTCCACTCGAGCACGTTCGAGATCTTCCTCCGCCTCGGCCCTCGCTGCCTTCGCCTCTGCCACTACTGCCCCTGCCTGTGGTAGTCCTGCCCCTGCCCCTGTCGCCATCCCTGTCCCTGCCGACCTCGCCTCTGGTGAATGCGCAGTTGACGGTACTTGTGGCATCTGTGGTGCTGATGATGGCCGCATGGGGTCGATGGTCTGGCCGAAGCCCGGAAGGTTCGACTATAGGAGGGGGGTGACGGATAGGACGTCATGCAGCCAGGCAACAGATCAGCGTGGCGTCATGTCGTCGACCATTCTCTCTGTTTCTCTCTATTGATGGCTGATGGGCGTTTCCTGTTGGTGTCGCCGTGGGTGTCCATCCCTTGACAAGATTGTCAAGATGCAAGGGGCGTCAGGAACGGAAATTTGGAGCCGGCTTTCGGGGGTCCCACACCGAGTAACCCAACAGGCCTGGCCTGGAGTAGACTAGGCTACTCGGCAGAGCGCAAGAGAGTGCCGAATATTTTCAAACCGCCAAGTGCCCGACGCAACAAGCTTGTGGTTGTCACCTTATGGCTAGAGAAGCCAGAAAATAATCACGGCAGCGTGGCCAACCAAGCAAACATCACCATAGAAACCAAGCAGAGACGGATCATGGGGGGGGGCTGTACTCATCGTCGTGGATGCCGTAGTCGTTTGACCATTGACCTTGGATCAGGGTGGAGGGGGGGCTCATATGATACGGCACACGGTAGTGACTCCTCCCCTCTTTTATGAAGCCATGCGGCGGCCCTGACCTGATCATCGGGGTCATCAGTAGACCCTATGTCTACCAGGAGGAGGATCACACGAAGGGAGCACAGCCGGGATGGCAGGGCAGACGGCGGCGCCGATGTCGTCACTTGGTCGTTAATATCGCTCGATGTTGACGCTCGCCACAGACAGGTATCGGTCCAACACCTTGACCTCCACAGGGGATGATCCAGAGGCATCCCCGGGTGTGGTGACGCCCGCCCATTGCCGGGACTTGAGGTGCGCTTTGAAGCCGGCCATGGACGTGAAAGCCTGCCGTATTCCGGAGCAGCAAGATGGCAACAGTATCCCGGAGTTACGAGAGTCGAGCGTTGTGATTATCGCAGTAGCAGCAACACCACTAGCAACACCACTAGCAGCCACAGCAGCGGAAGCGGAAGCAACGGCAGGAGGGAACGCGAGGGACCAAGTTTCCCACGAGCGCTGACCAGCACCACTGCGAAATGGGAGTCTTGCAGCGGGTGTTGCCAACAGAGAATGCCGACACCATGACAGGTTGAAGAGTTCATTCCAGATTTGCCATGGGCGCCATCATACTGTACGGTAGGCGAGAACCAGCATCATCATTATATCGGCACTGACACACCTTTCCGGTATCTCTGCAGCGGACGTGCTGCGGGGGAGATTCCACGACATCCTGGAGAGGGATGGCCACAACCCCAACCTCCTCCTCCTTGAAACGGTCATTATTCCGAAGCGAAACGACCTGGCACAAACGAGCAACACGAAAGGCAGAAAGGCATCAGCGTATTCATTGCGGACGACGATGTCTCAGACGGAAGCGCATGGTAGCCCTCAAACAGGGAGTGCGCAGACTCGATCAATCAGGGCACCCGGTCATGAGATCTGGATGATGATATTCCCATGGCGACAACCAGGGCTTGTGCGACAGGTGTTGTATCGAAAACGTCTATTGGCATCGGCAGAAAAACAGAACATAATGCATCAATTATGCAAGGGTCGAAAACGCTCTATCACCGTGGGAGTTTTCTTGTGTCAAGTACAGTGCGTTGGGGGTGGGGGTGGTANACAGTGCGTTAGGGGTGGGGGTGGTGCGTTGAAACTGGTACGGAATGGTGCGTCGGAACTGGAACGGTATGGAGCCGCAATCCCAAATACCCGGTTGGGGCGAAACCCGTGGTACCGGCGCTTGTTCACGCCTTCATCTCGACGGAAGGACAGAGAGACAGACGAAAGGACAGACAGGCTCACCAGACTTCTGTCCTGCACGGTAGCAGCGAGTCGGTCGAAGCTCATCCCGAAGGAGAATGTGCAGCACGAGTTCGAGAGAGGCGTGTCCATCCGGGGAGCCGCCCACACCAGAGAAGTCCGCACCGGAGCCGAAGTCCCACAGTAGGGGTAGTGGTAGCAGGCCACCTGCAAGGGGAACATAGGGCACACATCCTAAACTCAAAGACGGGTCGTGATTGTTGCGCAGATGCTGAAGCTAGTAGGGAGGGTAAGGTTAGCACGCGGGCCGCGTTGCGGAAAGCAGTGCCACCTATATAGATGGGGTACATCTCGACGATCTGGAGAAATTCGTCAAGCGGTTTTCAGGTGGCCCGCAAGGCATGTGGCGCTTGCTACATATGTTTCTGGGTGATTGTCAGCCCGTCCAAGTTCGAACGTCGTTCAAACCCCTCCCAAAGCCCAAGGAGCAAAAAGACAAACACAGTCGCCTTGTGGAGATGAACATTCGTACACTTACCACGTAAGCCGCGTTCTCGAGGTCCTTGACCGATGCCAGGTCGATGGACATCCGATAACTGCGCGGCACCGTGGCCCCCGCCACCACCCCACTCCCGACCACTGGTGGCTCCTCCGCCTGCACCCCCGTTGTCCTAACCGCGGCACCCCCCCGAACCCCTGACCTGTCCCCCCTTGCCCCCCTCCCTTCCAGGGTTCGGCGGCTCCCCTTCACACTCCCAGGTGATGGTCTCCCGGAAGTCGCTGTCTTCAGTGTCTACCTCCCCCCGCTCGCCGCAGCTAGCCGCTCGGAAGCCTTCCCGGAGGGAGGCGGAAGGGTTATTGTAGCGTTAGCCACTCCCGCGATTGCATCGGTTGCCATGGCCGCACCGCCGGCCTTTCCAGACAGCAACAGCTCTCCCGTGGCGTCAGTGATTCCCACTAGAACACCGCCGCCGCCATTGACGCGGTTGCTCAGCGCCGAACCGTCTCCGCTGCCTGGGTGATCAACCGGCCTGAGCTCTGGCCGCTGCAGCGCNCCTCCCCCCGCTCGCCGCAGCTAGCCGCTCGGAAGCCTTCCCGGAGGGAGGCGGAAGGGTTATTGTAGCGTTAGCCACTCCCGCGATTGCATCGGTTGCCATGGCCGCACCGCCGGCCTTTCCAGACAGCAACAGCTCTCCCGTGGCGTCAGTGATTCCCACTAGAGCACCGCCGCCGCCATTGACGCGGTTGCTCAGCGCCGAACCGCCTCCGCTGCCTGGGTGATCAACCGGCCTGAGCTCTGGCCGCTGCAGCGCCGCCGTGAATGCAACAGCCCGCCCAACTCTCCTCCCAGCCACCGCAAGGCGGGACCATGTCCTCACGCCGCTCGCGCTGGCTGAGCCCTCGGTCCTGCCCGTGGCCACCGCTGCCGCCGTCGCCGCCCACAGCCCGTCGGCATCGGGGCTCCCAACAGGCTCATCGCCGGGTCCAGGTTCGGAATCAGCCCTCGTCAGCTCGGCGCAGATGGAGGCAACCGGGGGGCTCTGTGACTCTTCCTCCCCCCCCTCGCCGTCTTCCTTGTCTCGCTGCTGCGGGGCCGCCAGGGGCTCGCCGGGGAGATGGAGTTGGAAGTATCCCTCTATCCCTGTGCTGCCGAACTCGCACGTGCTGCGGCCCTGCCACTGCTCTCTCGGTAGCAGCAGAGACATGTCCACGTCTGCGTGGGCCAGGATGCGTCCTTCCGTGCCGAGGTAGACCTGTACCGAAATTATGGCATCGGGCCGGATTCGCAGGAAACCCACAATGCGGCCCGCGAGCGGATAAAAAAAAGCACCGCGAGGGTGAGGGGGAGGGGACGGGAAGCGAAGCTAGTTGTATTCCTTTGTCGGCCGCCCNCGGTGCTGCCGAACTCGCACGTGCCGCGGCCTTGCCATTGCTCTCTCGGTAGCAGCAGAGACATGTCCACGTCTGCGTGGGCCAGGATGCGTCCTTCCGTGCCGAGGTAGACCTGTACCGAAATTATGGCATCGGGCCGGATTCGCAGGAAACCCACAATGCGGCCCGCGAGCGGATAAAAAAAAGCACAGCGAGGGTGAGGGGGAGGGGACGGGAAGCGAAGCTAGTTGTATTCCTTTGTCGGCCGCCCAACGCCGAACGAGGATGTTGCGAGCTGACCTGAGGATCGGCAGTGCTGCTAAAAAGCGTGTTTGAACGCATGGTAGCCCCACCAGACTCTGATGTTTGCGGTGTGATATTTTCTGGTGCGGGGTCGATTAATGTGCAGTGGTGCTTGCTGCGCATACCGGTCGCCGCTTGGCTACACAGCTTACGAGGAATATTGCTGCAGCCCGGTGATAACGGGCGTACGACTAGAGTAGACTACAGCTTCCCCGGTGCTCCAAATATCGCTTGATACATCATCAAAGCGCGATCCTTACGAACAACATCCACTGACCTGCAGCGGCGGGGCCTCGGCCAGGAAGTGGCATAGCCCTTGCAGGGCCGCCCGCAGCCAAAAGGAGTCCAACATCGGATCCAGCATCGCACCCCCCCCCGTCGGCGGCGGCCCCAAGCTCTCGAACCTATCCTATTGCACCACCACGCCGAAGATAGAGTAGCTCAGCCAGAACCCGGGGCCACCCCCATCGCTGCCGGCCACCGCAGCCGCCAAACCTGACAGTCCCGCGGCCCCCTTGACGGAGATGGCCAGCGAGAACGTCCGGGCGTCCTGCCCGTCCGCGCCCGGCCCAACCGGTAGGGCGTCGAGGTCGGACACCGCGTCGACAGCAGTCGAGGCTGCCAAAGGCTACTCGGATTCGGAGACAGTGCTGTCGACCCCGGTATGGACGGCAACCTCGCCGTCTTCCAGCCCTGCTGCTGGTGCTGCGGCAGCGACGGGAAACGGCATCGTTCGTTCCGACGCGGCCGTTGGAGAACCACCGTCGAAGCTTGCTTTCGAAGCAGAGGGTTTCGCCGAATCATTCCCCCGGTGACCGCTGTTCGGTCGGCCTCGTTGCTCGTGCCCTTCTCTACAGGGGTCCTCCTGCGGGTCGCGCGCCATGGCCAGGCGGGAGGATATCAGCACCTCCGCGGGGCTGGCGCCCTGGAGCTTGACCCAGTGTTCTTGCTGACGCTGCCCGGCGAGGTCTCGCATGTCGACGATGAGCCAGCCCACCGAATCGGAGGTGTCCATTGTGGGGGAGTTGGGGTCGATGGCGTACACGTGTACCTGGAAACGGTTGCGGTTGGGGGGGATGGTGGGAGCGAAACAAACGAGAGGTGCAAGGGAAGTTGCTATCGGCCGGAATGAACAAGAACGCAGGGTGTTTCCAACGGTGGCAGAAGAAGAAATTATCATGGGATGTTGGGTTCCAAAGTCATTGGTCCGTGTTTGTTCTGGCCTCTCTCTGTCGTTGAGCTTGGTTCACTTCGCTGATGCTGTTGTGTGGCGTACAACACGGACAGCAGCAGCAGTGTCCAAGCGGGCCCATGAAAAAAAAATATCCGCGTTAACTCCTCGCGCGAAGTTGTGCGGGCGTCAAACTCGCGCTACGGCGAGGGCTGCGACAGAAGACGGNAATATCCGCGTTAACTCCTCGCGCGAAGTTGTGCGGGCGTCAAACTCGCGCTACGGCGAGGGCTGCGATAGAAGACGGTCTCCCCGACAGCACTGACCAAATGTGTGTTCCACCCTCTGTTAAGCTGTGAAAAACTCTGGGAACTCACTACTGCGAGAACATCTCAGGATTGGACTACAGCAAAGTCATCGCTGTTGCTCCAAGTATGCACAACGTTGCACCACTCTACGAATTCAAGCGACTACTACCTATACTGCTGTCCTGTTCTTCCTTCACTATGTAATGACAAGTCATAATAGGTCGCATCACCTTGCAGACAGGGGTGTACGCATTGACCTCCTTGAACTGTTGCTCGGGCAGGCTCCACGACACCTTGTCCGCGCCCCGCAGCCACATCGCCTGGCGGGACCTCCCGCCCCTGCCCCATGTCGAGTTCCCCGTCTCTCGCGTCTCGTTGGCGATGTTTGACTGCGCTCTCAAGCACTTCCGGTAGTCGACGCTCCCCCGTCCATGCTGATGCCTCTGTTGTTGCCCGTGCTGTCTGAGCACTAGTTCCCTCTCGTTTTCCTCGTTGAAAAACGACTGCGGGAGGTGTCGCAGCGACCGCACTTCCACGGTGATCTCTGGAGCATCCTCTGCTGTTAGAAGTCTTGCTGCCGCCGAACCGGCAGCACCAGCAGCAGCAGCAACAACAGCAAGAACAACAGCAAGGCAGGCTGCTGCCTTCGTCCCCTGTTCCCTGCGGCTGTTCGGGCCTGATTGATCGTACACATGAAATGTACCCAGATGTTCGGCGACAAGGGAATTGGAACAAGAACGGGGGATGTTCGTCAAGAGGGGGGTATACTGCCGTACTGGTGCACACCACGAAAGTCTGCACTCCAATCAAAAACAGCTGCTTGCATTTCCATCTAACCTGTGCACACGGTCTTGATTTTCTTTCTCTCTCTTGAAGGTTTCTCTGTCTCTGTTGAAGGTGTNAAGGGAATTGGAACAAGAACGGGGGATGTTCGTCAAGAGGGGGGTATACTGCCGTACTAATAGTGCACATCACGAAAGCCTGCACTCCAATCAAAAACAGCTGCTTGCATTTCCATCTAACCTGTGCACACGGTCTTGATTTTCTCTCTCTTCTCTTGAAGGCTTCTCTGTCTCTGTTGAAGGTGTAAGCAACTCCGACCAATGGGTACTGAAAAAACAGATAGATTCTCTTGGCGTGCATACATTACCCTGTACTGTCGCTCCCAACGGGATAATGGTGAAGGTGCAGCCTACCCTTCCCANGACCAATGGGTACTGAAAAAACAGATAGATTCTCTTGGCGTGCATACATTTCCCTGTACTGTCGCTCCCAACGGGATAATGGTGAAGGTACAGCCTACCCTTCCCATGCATGAGCCTGTCCACAATACGATCCTACAGCAGCAGACTACTTAGCCGAAATTCGTGACAGCTATCTAATATACTGAAGTGTTGTCACCAGGTACCGACCTACTTCGTATTTAGTACAGCCGCACGGTTTCGAAGCTAGAATACCNAGTGTTGTCACCGGGTACCGACCTACTTCGTATTTAGTATAGCCGCACGGTTTCGAAGCTAGAATACCAACTGCGTGGACCCCCGTAGCGGGCATTCGTCAAGTGTCGATAGGAATAACCGGAGGATACGCCAAGTTGGTCGAATTTTGGAAACGGCATTTCGAGTGACATCCTGCACAGGTAGAAGGTTAACGTCAACGTACCGTAAACGTGCCGTACGTACGTCACTCCGAAACATTGTACGTGTAACGTCAATGGCTTGACAACCGCTGCGCGTGCATGTCTTGTGTACGTGGGTGTTGCTTAGATCGAGTTCCGAATCTCCCAACACATCACCCCAAACCAGGGGATAAAGCTGCAATGGAGATGTCTGTCAGTAGTTTCCCCGCGCTGGTAGAGTACCCAACACAAAAGGAAGAGTAGTGGCCAAAATCGGGTACACCCGGCCCCAATCCGGCCATTATCGGGTACACTTGTTTCACACAGCCGGCAGCGCCCTCCTGGCGCCATCTGATTGGCCGACGCCCACCCCTACCCGGCCCTGACCCTATTTCCACCGGGTGCACCCGATCTTGGCTACTCACCCCCCGGAGGGTACCCGATCTTACTCTCGCCTACCCGAAAATGGCTGGGCTATTCGACCAACAGACCACCAGCAGACCACGCTCACGAACACACGTCACCAACACCCCGCACTCGAGTTCCGACGCTTCCGACGGCGGGCGGAGGCGGACACTAACGCGGCGGAACTCTCGTCTGAAGTGGATCTCTCTCCTGCAAGACTCCTCCTGCAACCCACCGCCGACGGCGGAACTCTCTCGGTTCTCGTTTCATATCGGAGAGGGAGGAGAGAGAGGGCCAGGCGGACGGGGGTGGATGAATACCTCTCAATACCTCACGTGATCACTTGAGCTGCACACAAATACATGACGCAGCTCAGATATGTCCATGGAAGCATCAAGCACAGAAGCATCAGGGTGTCGCTTTCGTCTGGAATAGACTACATGTAGACACATCAAGACCGGAGATGTATGGTACGGTGTTGTGTACGCAGAGGCTCGTTCATACACAGCAATGCAGCAGCAGCAAGCAGTGGATGCCGTGGTTATGTCTCGATCAAGAGGAAGACCGGATATATATGACACACTGCTGTTGTGTAGGAAGAGGATCGTACAGTAATGCAGCAGCAGCAAGCAGTGGATGCCGTGGGACCTCAGATTAAACAGCGACAATACTTCCTTGACTTCGACCTCTCGTGAGTACGTGGGAGAGACAAGGAACTGCGGGCTTGCCACAGGAGATGGGGAAAGATAGAGAGAGTGGTGGTACACGCAGCATGAACGCTGTCCTAAGATGGCTGGTGGTGAAGTAGCACGCGCCTTGCGCGAGGACCGCGGGCGGTGTTCTCTACTTCATCGCTCATATTCTGCCGATGCCAGTCGATCGTTCAGGCACGAGTGCCGAGATTAACCATGAGAGACTTGGTGGGTTGAGGAGCGACATCTACTTGCAGGAGCGAGGTCTACTTCAAACAAGAGTTCCGCCGCGTTGCTGTAGAGAGATCCACTGATCCACTTCAAACGAGAGTTCCGCCGCGGTAGCCGCGTTAGTGTCCGCCTCCGCCCGCCATCGGAAGCGTCGGAACTCGAGTGCGGGGTGTTGGTGACGTGTGTTCGTGAGCGTGGTCTGCTGGTGGTCTGTTGGTCGAATAGCCCAGCCATTTTCGGGTAGGCGAGAGTAAGATCGGGTACCCTCCGGGGGGTGAGTAGCCAAGATCGGGTGCACCCGGTGGAAATAGGGTCAGGGCCGGGTAGGGGTGGGCGTCGGCCAATCAGATGGCGCCAGGAGGGCGCTGCCGACTGTGTAAAACAAGTGTACCCGATAATGGCCGGATTGGGGCCGGGTGTACCCGATTTTGGCCACTCTTCCAAAAGGAATGTCGGTCTTGTATGTGACGTGATGTGATGTGTCTCATGAGGGTGCCATGCCGACGACTAACCTATTGTATAGTTGAGAGGCTGAGGCTTGTTGTGTCCCAAGCAGCAAAAAGGGGCAAAAATAGAGCATAGGAAGGTATTGCAGTACTACTGTAGGCGATAGCCCACACCCCACACCAACGCTGTATTGAACTAGTGCGGTAATATTTGTAGAGCAAACCGCGAGCATGTGGCGGGGCTACAGCAGTGGTTATGGTCCCTGGAGACTATTGCTGCGGATGGTCAACCGTTGAGTAATCATTTGGTGGTGTTGTTGTTGTTCTCCTGTTTTTGTTGTCACATTGGCTCTCCACGCACTGCTGTAGTCTGCTGTAGTCTGCTGTAGTCCTCAGCCGTTGCCGGTGAAGGTGAAGCAAGCGAGGTACATGTACCTACAATAGCAGGTAGGCCTGAGGTTCCGCCGCATTCTTTGGAATGGATGCCGTTGTGCGTTGTGTGTGCTGTGTTGGTGTCTTGGCTTTGGAATACTAAATGTTGCACAAACCGCTTCTATTGTAGCTCTGAGGATGGGCTCCCCAGCGCGAAAAGGTCGCGCGGTGGGTGTTGTCGGCGTTTTTCCTACTTCTCTCCGCGCTCTCTCTTTCTCTTGTCTCTCCCTCTCTCTGTCTCTCTCTCTCTCTCTCTGTCCGTTTCATTTCAATTCAAACTAGACAAAAGATCAACGACATTTTTGCCGTACGTTGAATTTACACGCTTGTACAGCTTCCACCTGGGTATATCAGCAAAGTTCGACACACGCACCTGATTCAGTTGACAAGTTTCGTCTGTTGAGCGCCAGCTGGCATAGTCGAACCGACCAGTTGCTAGTTTGCTGTACAGCGGTTGATGTCGAAGTTGTCAACAGGGGTGCCGCAGTCTGCAGTCGCAGTGGATACAATAATATTGGGGGGAGGCGGGGGGGGCAAAGGGATACGACAAAAATATGCATACATGTGCCGGGTGTCTGGACGCCGGTTGCTTTGATTCCTCCGCACAAGAGGCAGATTGGGACCGGGGGTCAAACAACAAGGGGAGGACTTACCACAGCTCTGGGTTCAAAGTCTTGGAGTGGTGGTCTTCAAAACGAGAGGAGCATGATACTGCAAGCGGGATACCGCACTTGCCCCTGCGACCCATTTTATTCCTTTCGTCGGTGAGTTGACTTGCCGATTTGTCTCTGCACCTGGAGCTTGCTGTGTTTTTGTTTGTTTTCGTCCTTTTATTATGGCGACAGCAGTCCCCCCATTTTTCGTGGTGAGACGTGTACTGCACTCTTCAGCGTATGTAGAGTACTACACTTTTCAGTGTATTTTCTCGTACAACTACAACCATCCAGGGTCACACAGGAGGGGGGTAAACACCAGGACTTTTAACAATTTAACAATTTAACAATTAGACTATAGCATTTATCTTTTTGCTCACAGGCCTGCGTGCGGACCACCACGCTGTCTGCGCAATTTCTGTCGGGCGCCGTGAGCGCAGCAGGCTTTTCACTTGGTTTCAGTAAGCAAATCACTCCGAAATCGGCCCAGAAAACGGCTCTCGATCGCCCTCGTGCCTCCCTTTCAAAGTGCGTGTTTTCGTCGCCCGGGGGCCGTTTTGCGGTCCGGTTGGCGGTGGACGCTGCCACTTACCGCTCCAGCGACCCATATCGGTGCTGCGCGCGGGCTTTCTTATCCCGCGTTTCTCTCTNTTTTTTTTTTTTCCATCGCTGCTGCTGTACAGCTTCGTGTCTCTCTCCTTCCTATGTCTCTCGCTCCCATCGGGCGCTACTTTCTTCCGTTCCTGACGCGGTGGCGGTGTCCTCAGTCTTTTCCTGACTCCCTGCGCTTTTTTT